TTAACATTTTTATTCTTTTTAAATAATTTTGTTTTAATCTGGCTGATTTTTATCACATTATTATCATAAATCAGTAGCAGCAAGTCTCGGCTTCAGTCTGGTAATTTTTACGTACCGATCGAAAAATATTTGTGAAGGTTATGTCGAAAAAAGGGAAGCATCTCTGTTAGAAATATAAGCAAACGATTACGGAAAAGTGTGCCATGGATTACCTATACAAGGCTATATCTCCAATAGGAGAGTCCCAAGAGGATAGTGCATTTACCTCCGGTCACTCTTTGACATAATGGAATTATATAAAATATCTACATCATTAGCGCTCACAAGGGGTGGGTTTTGGGGTTCAAACCCCCCCTAAAGCTAATAACCTTAAATGCAAACTGTATGTTAAAGCTTAGAACCCAGCTCTCAAGAAAAGTCACAAGAAGTATTTTTAACCGACTTCCAAAAAAGGAGGAGGTTATCAGTTCGTCGGAATATTTTTTTATTTTTATTTACTTTTTTTATGTATGTTACCGCATAACTTTGGACCACGTCAACCGATTTCAATAATTATTTTTGCATCGGAAACGTAGTATCTCAGAGGAGGTCCGATACTAATCTGGTTAAGATCCGATCAGTTTATCATGATATATATATATATATATATATATATTTTTTTTTTTATATGAGAGTTGAAGTCGGTTTTTTTTTGCTAAAAATTACTTGTTTTTTATTATTTTTTGCTTGAAAAATAAATCTCCTTTTGCTGTAAATTTTCTTGAAGAAACAAATATGCGAGCTGCAAACAGATTTAAGAAATTTTGACAAAGTATTTAAGAAGTTTCTTGTGCGTCATTTTATATGCAGTTTTCGCTTTTCTTGATAGCTATTAAAAGTTTAAAAATCACCATCTCCATCGAAAACCAGCAGCGGGATTCCAGCATTTGCTATAGCTGATTTTGATCACCAAAAATCTCCAAAAGCAACATTTAGTTACATACCAGACATGCTGCCAGATTTTGTTGATTACACATTACAGTTATTACTTTTCGATTCAGTATACTTTTAGGTCCACTGCTTTTCATTTAGAGAATTTTGGTGACGAAAATCTAGCGTAGTGACCAGAAATCGATAAAAATTATCATTAAATTTCTTTAAAAAATTTTTTTTTATTACTTTTGAAGGTTGAGCGCATCTTATTTTTAAACAAGTAATTTTTAAGCAAAAAAAATTTAGGAATACCGTTAATTTTTTCATTATCCAATGATCAGATCTAAACGAAATTACGGGACGACCGAAATTGAAATCGGTTCACGTGGTCCAAAGTTACGCGGTAGCATACATAAGTCGGTTTAAAATGTTTGAGTTCTTTGTTAATTTTAAGTAAATATAGTACAATTTATGAAACTTTAAAAGGTTTATTTATTTATTGCATACTGTACATAAAACTTGCATAAATGTATTTTAAAGAGCCTATTATCTGAAGCGAATTTTCAGAAGTATAAACCCCTCCCAAAATATATTCCTGTGTGCGCCCCTGATCTAGATATATCTTAATACTTATTGCACGCTCCTAATTTAGTATAACGGTAAATTTAGAAATCGCGAAAAAAGGGCTTCTTTGGTGACTAATGAAACCATTCAGCTCCAATTTTCAAGAACACATAAATGGACTTAAAATGGGCATTGCTCACCTAAATTTTATTTAGTTAACATATGTATGAAATGATGCCTAATATTGGACATCCGTAATTAATTTCACTTACCAGTAAAACTAACCAAATTGGCTTGACCAAGTACATGATCCTTTAAATATTATATAAACATCCAAAAACTTAAAAATCTTTGAAATAAGTCTCATCTAATTTTTTATTTTCACTTGTTTACCAAAGTAATGAAGAATTGAAAACTCATACGGGAAGGTCATTGCTTTTGTAAGTATTCCTAAATATCTCGAAAACTTGTAGTCTTATTGAAAAATTATGTATGAACGTGAGATACTAAATTAAATAACGTTTTACTTGATATATCCTCTGGGTATAACAATTAACGCATTCCCTAGATATTACCAACCAAAGTTTAATTTTCCAAATTCGTAAACTTTGAAACTATCGCGCGGGCTAAAGATATTATTTAAATTAATCTTTCGTAGCCAATTATTATTGGTTTAGACCTAAGACAACATAATATTACTATTACAGTGCGATCAAATGCCTTTTCCCCCATACAAAATTGACCCAGCCTATTATCTGTGATATTATCTATGTATGTATATAAAAAGTGTGCATTAAAGCGTTCGAAAATTAATGCAATAAAGAAGACAAAACTTTTGAAAAAAATTTTATTATATAAAGATAACTACGAAAAATAAAACGGGAACTAAAACTTAATTATTAACCGACGTCACAAAAAGGAGCAGGTTATCAATTCGTCGGAATAGTTGTATTTCTTTTTTTTTGTTTTTTATGCATGTTACCGATTTCTAAAATTCTTTAAAGGACAGGTGTTACCTCACAGGTGGTCCCGTAGTAATTTGGTTTAAATCGGATCATTGGATCAAAGAAATTAACGATAATCTTAACTTTTTATATGAGAATCGAAGTAAATTTTTTTTTGCTTACAAACTAATTGTTTTTTTTTTTCAAACAACATACTTTAACAAAAATCTACCAAAATGAGAAAAAATTTATCTTCTTACCAACCCAAATTTTTTCTACCAATTTTGGTAATAGTTTACCAAAGTGGCAACCTTGGTTACGTCAGCTAAATATGTTTTTCTCAACATATGATTTGTTTATAGTTATATATTATTATATTATATTATATATTATTTGGTTATATATATGTAGTTACCAAATTGTGCGTTGAGAGAAATAAATGTGGCTGACTTTTTCTGGGCGTATTTAGCTGATGAAGGTCGTGGGTTTTATCAATAATGTGAAGCTTCATCTTTTAGTCGTAGGAGAACAATAGAAGCCATAAACATATTAGCATCTGTAAATTATTAAGTTCCGGCTTAATCAGTATTACCCCGATATACTACATGGATAAAAGCATGAAATATACCAGAATGCCCACTTCTGCTAAGATTAGCACAAATTAGCCATAAATTGTCTAATGCATTAATATTAACGCAATATATTCATTTCGCATCAAGGGATAACAGCAAAATGCGTAGAAAAAGTGCTTGCCACGTTAGTTATCGATATCGCAAAGGAATTGGATTTGGACATTGCCCTTCCGTGGAGAGCGAATAGACAAAATTTTCGGGCTAATTATCGTGCATCTAACGCCGAAGATGGAGGATGGTTCCGTGCGCAGAAGTGGAAAACTTTTGACTGCCACCTGGGAGTGGCCAGAAGCGATTCTTGTGCGTACGGTTTAAATCGCAGCTCACAACGTCCGGATATTTATATCCACGTATCCCCTGGGTAGCAACCAAACACCCGTTTGGGAGCGAGCTAAAGTGAGAAGGCGTAAAACTTCGCATGCGCTGGGTTTGGGTTCCGTCACGTTAAAACCACGCCCAATGAAAAAGAACAAAGAGTCTCGGATGAGACCCCCTTTTTCTGATGACGACCACGGCAAACGTACAAGGACACGTATAAAGGAATATGATTTAAGGGTATGCACCTGGAATATCCGGACCCTTAATGGGGAAGGTGCCTCTGCCCGGCTGGTTGATATCCTCGGCAAGACAAATTCAGCCTCCATGACGAAATGTCCGATAACGGACTGAGGCTGATCGACTTCGCCGGGGCCCGAAAAATGGTAATATGTAGTACTAGTTTCCAGCATAAGAACATCCATCAAGCTACATGGCTGTCTCCAGATCGAAAAACGAGAAACCAAATCGATCATGTTGTGATAGACGGAAGGCATGCTTCAAGCGTTTTAGACGTACGTACATTCCGAGGGCCAAACATCGACTCGGACCACTATCTTGGTGTAGCCAAGATACGCACCCGACTCTGTGCAGCAAAAAATGTGCGCCCAACAATGCAAGAAAAGCTTAACGTCGAAAAGCTGCAACCACAACAGACCGCTAATTTATTCGCCACTCAACTCACACACCTGCTCTCTGAGAGGTGCGCGAGCAGTGGAACCAAGAATGATAGAATACAAGATTGCGCCGATCAGAGAGGATTTTTGAGCGTAATTTTTCGGTGACGTCACACTGGTGCAGCTGCGAGAGAGCAATGTCAAAACGCGAACAAGAATGCAAGAAGAAGAAGACATTTTGCACGAAAAACGTAAACAATACGAAAAAATTTATTCATAACACATTAAAATGGGAAAATTTATAGATATTAAGCATATATATTAGCTTTAATTAAAGATGAAAGCATTGTTGTGGTGTTGTGCATATAGTCTTTAGGGTGAGTATCAAAAATAATGTTGGGACAAATGTATGTGTTAAAAATGTTTGCCATTTCAGAATCAACGCTCCCACGAGTTAGTCGAAGATGAAATCTTTGAAAAGTATTATCAAAGGTATTCTAAATAATAATAATACAATCTAAATAATAATAATACAACTTCCGACGCGTACCTTGATGAAGGTGAGCAATTAGTGCGTGAGTCTGAGCACTTGCTGCAGACAATTGGCAGCGAAGCAAATGCCGCACTGCGCCAAGCCAACTCAGAGCTGGGTGCGTGTATAGACGAATTCCGTGAAATGTCGCTGCAGGTATCGAAGGATGTTAATCAATTGCAAGATACTGTGATGGCGTTGTTCCAAGCAAGTAGCTAGAGATTAATAGTTTAGTATAAACTTAATTCAGTACCTTATATTATTTTCAGGCGCGTTATAATCCCATTAAGATATGCGATTTTCTGCTGGAAAACTGTTTAGAGCCACTAATTTTGAAGCCAGTTTCATTGGACTACAGAAAGCATACCACAGCAATCTTCTCTTGCAGATATTTCCGATGCACACACAGTTGGCACTGCGCCGTTGAAATTATTGCGTCAGTGTTTGCGTCAATTAGATTTGTTGAAAAATGTTTGGCAGAATGTGTTACCCGATGCAATTTATAACAAGACATTTTGCGATATTATACAGTTTGCTCTCCATGTTTTTACACATATCTTCGTATTCATCCAAGCGTTTTTTCAGCTGTTCCACCTCATAGTCATGCTTCTTTTTCTCATTACCGTACTTTTGCTGGAGTGCCGCCAGTTCCATGTCCTTCTTTTTGTTATTCATTAACAGAGTCTTGTTTTCTCGCTTAAGTCTTTTTCTACGTGTAACAAAATTAAAACTTTAAACACAAGAATATGCCAACATGTTTAGATTGCCTTATTGCTTTTACAAACTCACAGTTGAGCTTCCAGCTCCTCAACTTCTTCCAAACTGCTGTCGTAGTAGAAGACTTTACGAGGTGTTGAAGTCGCGGGGATTTCGGAAAGATTTGCATCCACTAGGCTATTTTCCTTATTCTCCACATTTTCGTCAATCGGAACAACGTTGGCACTGTTATTCGCCTCGGCTATAACAACTTATTTGCAAATATAAGTCGAAACTTTCTTTAAAATCAAATTGTTACCTTCATTGACTGCGACAGGTTCACTCTGCTGAAGTAACTCGCTGACAATTTGTTTGTACTCCTCGCGCTGAACACTTTCGGCACGCTGGGAGGTTTCCCCATCCTCTGGGTAAATGCTGGGCACAGCACCACGCTTTAAAAGGCGTTTTTTTGCAAATCCTAAAGCGTTTGCAACAATAACATTAAATGGAATGAATTTAGAAAATACACAATATATTACCCATTTCGAACTGTCGATTGTTTTCTATATCTTCACTAGAAAAGTGCTTCATGCACACGTAGCTCGATTTGGGATTCAATAATGCACTTCCTCGCCGGCAAAACTGCATCCACTTTCTGGCGAGAGCTTCGTCCGTAGGAAACGAAAAAAAGCTTATATCGCACGCTTGCCTATAGTTTTCACTATCACAATTTGCCACTGCACACTTCATTTTGCCTTAGTATAAGTTTATAAAGTTTAAATAATCACTTTGAATTGCTTAAAATCTCGCAGAAATAACACACAAATAAATTGTTAAGTTCAAAATCAACAATTGCACCAGTGTGACGTCATACAAACAGCTGATTCTGTCAAATTCGTTAAGAGAAAAATAGCGGTACCGAGATCGGCGCAACCTTTGTATTCTCTCAATCGTGGCTCAAACGTATGTACATATGTAGGTACATATGCTGTTGTATTGCTGCCACAAATTGTTGCCTCTCCCAGTTACTGGTCCTCGATGTCCATATGAGTAGCGGATATTTGCAAATAATGCATCGTACTTTTAAAGTAACCTGTCCCTTTGTGTGCCTTTTAGCAGGTGGTGTGTTCCAGTTCCTTTTTCTCGCAAGGTCCTTTTGCACAGGTGTGCGGCGAAATGAAATTTTAAAAGAAATTCAATTAGTTTGCATTAAATACAGGCACATGTATGTATGTATGTATGTATATACATATGTATATACAAACATATGTGCGCATACATTAGCTTTGAGTTCGACTTATGCATTTACTGCGTCCACATACGCACGAATATCTGCCAAGATATGCAGCTAGGAATATTTATATAAAAAATGCTCAACAATTTTGAGGCCGCAACGCATTTAGGTGCTTTCCTTAAAAAATTATAATTATACGTCAATAGCATTCACGTTCGAAAGATGGTACTAAAAATCATATTCCCAATCCATATTTGGCTTTGATTCTTCCCTAATTACTTCTAAATATTTCGGTCCACTTACTTCGGATTCCGATAACTGGTGTTAAAAACGGTTCCTGGTAACTGCTCCGTATGGGTAACAAAAAAACCGTTATTGGTCAGTTATCACTTTTATATATATATAACTTTATTTTCTATTTTTTTACACGATTATAATCACGATTCCTTTTTACTGCACCGCAACTTTGATATTAACCTTTTCGGACTTTCTTAGTGGCATTTAAGGCTGAGATTTCCATTACGGAACCAATTTTTTATGAAAATCGGTGGGGATACTAATGGAGGTCTTCTTTAACTATATTTATCAGTTTCACAATGTTTTTGTTAATAGTACTTAAGTTATTTGTTGTTAAAGTATCCCCCCTACTATCACTATATTTTATTAGAAAACTACACTTATCACTTTTATTTATACAAATATACTATCCTTAAAAGGTTCGCATGCATTTGTAATACAGTATATTTTGCATTGCTGCCTCTATGCTTAAGTGCACATTTACGATACCTACCCCAAAATGCGCATCAGAGGCGTTATTTTTAACATTTATAAGGAAACTGCTCCGATAGATGCATTTAGCATACCTGCACATTGGCGATACCTGCCTTAAAAATTGTGCGACTAGTATCAATTATCAAAGAAAGTATTACGTTTACCTGCACTGGCCCTACAATTACCTAATTTTACAACTTTTTATTTGTTTTGTTCCTCTCTCAGAACAACGAAAATGGCTATTAATTTATGTAGTTATATAGATAATTAGATACTATTCGGTAAAAATTTCACTTGCAGTAATTTCTACGTGGTAAGTGCTTCTCCATTATTTGGTTTCATAGGTATTTGGATACCTTCCTCATTGAAGTAGTAAAGAAAATTCGCTTAAGTGCCTTTTTTGGTTAAGTGCACAAGTTTTTCGTGCAAAGAAGGATGTGCAGCTAAGCAAAATATACTGTATTTAAATATACAATTATTAATTAGTTAATTAACTAAAACGCGTTTATAAATGTCTTCACAAGCTTTAACACATTTCACAAACAAGCAGAAATAACAAGGGCTGACAGTAACACAAAATGTATGCTACCATACGTTAAAAAAAAATGCACCACAAATAAGTGCGTATAATTACGGGGTATAAGTGTACAATACGTACATTGCTCTTATTAAAAATAATAATATTAGGATCGATGGGGGTCTTACTCCTTAAAATAACGGTATCATTTTTTTCGGGGGGAAATAATATTTACTGGTATTGTTGTAGTTCAAAGTACACAAATGTAAAAAACGTAAATCGATAATTTGATAAATAATGAAAATGTTTAATAAAAAATCGCGCGATGTCAAACTCGATATGTACTTCGATAAATAACTAAGTTAATATTTTTATTACAAAATCTCTCGATTTTAAACTGAATCACTTTTTTTATCAATACATCGATATTTAATTAAAAAAAAATTAATTACAATGTCCGTTTTTATTGTTTCTCGCTTTCAGTGTCTTTTTTTGGGCATTTTTTGTTGTGTGGCAGCACCGACATTTTAGTTCAATTGGTTTGCAAAGCAAAAAGTGAGGTTGAATTTGACATTTTTTGCAACTTAAAATTCAATTTTCTTAAAAACTATAAGCCTCCGGAGGGGGTGGGGTCTCAGATTTACAATCAAAAAAAGCCGCTCTAAACCCCCTCATTTTTTTTTAAGCCGGGTTCCGTACTGGAAAATTTTCCCACACTTTATTGGGTACGACATGCCTCACCTACTCAATTTCCGATCGCCCGATTTAGTCACTCATCTTCGAAACTTTCCAAACCTATAATCACGACACCTTTTTACTGCACCGCAACTTTGATATTAACCTGTTCGGACTTTCTTAGTGGCATTTTATTGGGTACGACATGGCCGAGGATGTCACTCATGCCTCACCTACTCAATCTCCGATCGCCCGATTTAGTCACTCATCTTCGAAACTTTCCAAACCTATACATACACGTATTCGTAACTGCTTTAACAAACCGCCGGGTTAGCAAGGTCTCCCTGCTGTGTTAGCTTTAAAAGTGTGGCTACTTTCATTTCCTTTTACCCACGCACTCAAACACACACACATACCAAACAACAGCTTGCGTTACAAGCAGGGATGCCGTTTGGATCTAAATAGATCCAATTGGATACAGTTTTAGACGAATTTTTTCGGGATACTTATTTTTTCCGGTCAGTTTAAATGTGGATACTTTTTTAAATAGGCCAAAATCTTATATTTCCTATAAAGTTTTTTTCGTTCAAACATCGATTTTCATTACATTACATATGTATGTCACATTCTCCCTGATCCCTCTGGTGAATTCCAGTCTGCGCACAATTTTAGAGAAGTGTAATTCACTGGTCTACTTTGCAGCGGCCGTTGACCTACCTCGAGTTTTACTGAAACAGCTGACTACAGCGATTTATGTACATATGCATGTATGTATGTCAGCGCTGTTGTAAGCCTATGTTAACATTTACATATGTGTACATAGGTGCTAGCCAAGAATGATAGAATACAAGATTGCGCCGATCGGAGAGGATTTTTGAGAATAACTTGTGTGTGACGTCACACGGTCACGGTCCGAGATCGGCGCAACCTTTGTATTCTCTCAATCGTGGGTGCTAGCCGCTGCGTTGCTCAAACGCAAGAATGATAGAATACAAGATTGCGCCGATCAGAGAGGATTTTTGAGCGTAATTTTTCGGTGACGTCACACTGGTGCAGCTGCGAGAGAGCAATGTCAAAACGCGAACAAGAATGCAAGAAGAAGAAGACATTTTGCACGAAAAACGTAAACAATACGAAAAAATTTATTCATAACACATTAAAATAGGAAAATTTATAGATATTAAGCATATATATTAGCTTTAATTAAAGATGAAAGCATTGTTGTGGTGTTGTGCATATAGTCTTTAGGGTAAGTATGAAAAATAATGTTGGGACAAATGTATGTGTTAAAAATGTTTGCCATTTCAGAATCAACGCTCCCACGAGTTAGTCGAAGATGAAATCTTTGAAAAGTATTATCAAAGGTATTCTAAATAATAATAATACAATCTAAATAATAATAATACAACTTCCGACGCGTACCTTGATGAAGGTGAGCAATTAGTGCGTGAGTCTGAGCACTTGCTGCAGACAATTGGCAGCGAAGCAAATGCCGCACTGCGCCAAGCCAACTCAGAGCTGGGTGCGTGTATAGACGAATTCCGTGAAATGTCGCTGCAGGTATCGAAGGATGTTAATCAATTGCAAGATACTGTGATGGCGTTGTTCCAAGCAAGTAGCTAGAGATTAATAGTTTAGTATAAACTTAATTCAGTACCTTATATTATTTTCAGGCGCGTTATAATCCCATTAAGATATGCGATTTTCTGCTGGAAAACTGTTTAGAGCCACTAATTTTGAAGCCAGTTTCATTGGACTACAGAAAGCATACCACAGCAATCTTCTCTTGCAGATATTTCCGATGCACACACAGTTGGCACTGCGCCGTTGAAATTATTGCGTCAGTGTTTGCGTCAATTAGATTTGTTGAAAAATGTTTGGCAGAATGTGTTACCCGATGCAATTTATAACAAGACATTTTGCGATATTATACAGTTTGCTCTCCATGTTTTTACACATATCTTCGTATTCATCCAAGCGTTTTTTCAGCTGTTCCACCTCATAGTCATGCTTCTTTTTCTCATTACCGTACTTTTGCTGGAGTGCCGCCAGTTCCATGTCCTTCTTTTTGTTATTCATTAACAGAGTCTTGTTTTCTCGCTTAAGTCTTTTTCTACGTGTAACAAAATTAAAACTTTAAACACAAGAATATGCCAACATGTTTAGATTGCCTTATTGCTTTTACAAACTCACAGTTGAGCTTCCAGCTCCTCAACTTCTTCCAAACTGCTGTCGTAGTAGAAGACTTTGCGAGGTGTTGAAGTCGCGGGGATTTCGGAAAGATTTGCATCCACTAGGCTATTTTCCTTATTCTCCACATTTTCGTCAATCGGAACAACGTTGGCACTGTTATTCGCCTCGGCTATAACAACTTATTTGCAAATATAAGTCGAAACTTTCTTTAAAATCAAATTGTTACCTTCATTGACTGCGACAGGTTCACTCTGCTGAAGTAACTCGCTGACAATTTGTTTGTACTCCTCGCGCTGAACACTTTCGGCACGCTGGGAGGTTTCCCCATCCTCTGGGTAAATGCTGGGCACAGCACCACGCTTTAAAAGGCGTTTTTTTGCAAATCCTAAAGCGTTTGCAACAATAACATTAAATGGAATGAACTTAGAAAATACACAATATATTACCCATTTCGAACTGTCGATTGTTTTCTATATCTTCACTAGAAAAGTGCTTCATGCACACGTAGCTCGATTTGGGATTCAATAATGCACTTCCTCGCCGGCAAAACTGCATCCACTTTCTGGCGAGAGCTTCCTCCGTAGGAAACGAAAAAAAGCTTATATCGCACGCTTGCCTATAGTTTTCACTATCACAATTTGCCACTGCACACTTCATTTTGCCTTAGTATAAGTTTATAAAGTTTAAATAATCGCTTTGAACTGCTTAAAATCTCGCAGAAATAACACACAAATAAATTGCTAAGTTCAAAATCAACAGTTGCACCAGTGTGACGTCATACAAACAGCTGATTCTGTCAAATTCGTTAAGAGAAAAACAACGGTCCGAGATCGGCGCAACCTTTGTATTCTCTCAATCGTGCAGTGGAACCACATTTCCTGATCATTAAGTACCGCCGCCGAAGAAGAAGTTGGATTTCATCGAGCCCGAAAGAACAACTGGTACGATGAGAAATGTCAAGAAGCCGCAGAGAAAAAAGACGCCGCCTATAGTGCCACGCTGCGATCGGGCGCAACGCGAGCTATGTGGGACCGTTATAGGGAACTGAAGAAGGAAGCGAGAATTTGGCGCAATAAGAAGAGAGAGGTCGAAATACGTGAGTGCGAAGAGCTTGAGATGCTGGCCGATAAGAAGCACGCCCGAAAATTCTACCAGATGGTTAGGCGACTTACAGAAGGTTTCAAGACCGGGGCGAACTCCTGTAAGAATAACAATGGCGACCTAATAACAATGGCGAACTAGTATGTCCAGAACATACTTAATTTTTGGAGGGAACACTTTTACAACCAACTGAATGGCAGCAGCGCTGAAAGTAGTGAAGAAGACGAACCCGAGTCCCCAGTCGATGATGATGGAGTAGCTGTCGCACCGCCTGACTATGACGAGGTACGAATAGCGATTACGCGGCTGAAAAACAACAAAGCTGCTGGAGCTGACGGCCTGCCAGCCGAGCTATTCAAGTACGGTGGCGAGGAGCTAATGAGGTGCATGCATCAGCTCGTATGCACAATATGGTCAGATGAACGCATGCCCGACGACTGGAATTTAAGTGTGCTCTGCCCAATCCACAAGAAAGGCGACCCCGCCATACGCGCCAACTACCGCGGAATTAGCCTTCTAAGCATAGGTTACAAGGTCTTATCGAGCGTATTGTGCGAAAGACTGAAGCCCACCGTCAACGAGCTGATTGGACCTTATCAGTGTGGCTTTAGGCCTGGAAAATCCACCATAGATCAGGTATTCACAATACGCCAAATCTTGGAAAAGACCCGCGAGAATAGGATCGACACACACCATCTATTTGTCGATTTCAAAGCCGCTTTCGACAGCACGAAGAGAAGTTGCCTTTATGCCGCGATGTCCGAATTTGGTATCTCCGCGAAACTAAGACGGCTGTGTAAAATGACGTTGAGCAA